CAGAAAGCCATGACGATCAAGTACATGGTTCCTGATATGCAAGGTTGGAAAGCCAACAATGTGGCTAAATCCCGAAAAAGGATTCCATCCTTCCAGGTGGTGACAACTGAGGGGAAATGTCCCTTTGGGGGAGAAGTTACAAGAGAAGATGTAGCTCTAGCTTCGCAAATCATCATTTCTACCCTCAACTCCACAAAGGGTCAGTGTAAAGAAAATGGCAAGTATTGGACAAAGATTTTTTTAAAAACACCAGTGAGGTCACCATTTAAAAATTTCCCCTAAGTCTATTCTGAATTGTTTGATGGATTCTCTTGACATCCAAAGTTCTTGGAGAACTCTCCAGGTTCCGATATTCCCATTAGAGGAATATAAGTCTATTATGTGCACTTAATCAAAAGTTTTACACCTGTTCCCTTCTACTAAAAAAATGATAGTGGGGAAAACATCTGTATTATCCTCTCTGGACAAATAAAACTTTCCCTCTTCCAGAGTCTTTCAAAAGGTAATTAGATGCCTTAAGTGTGGGAGTAGGTAATTTAAGATTTTGCCTGTCTCCAAAACTGTTGACAATATGTTAAGCAGATGGAGGTCATTTCTTTTATTTCTCTAATTTTCCCTTTTGGCTCTGATGAAGGATACTCTGGCATAAATGTTTTGTCGTTATGCATGGTAGATCGACCTGCAATCCCAAAGGGGAAGCAAATCTTGTACTTTCAGTTGATGATATTTTTGAAAATATATTTGGATTAACTATGGCAGAAAGTCTCACATTATTTCATATGCCTCACTTTTGGTATTAGGAAGGAGGAAAGCTTTAAGAGAGAATGGAATGTGCCAAACAAAAATTGGGGGGAAGGGACGCCACTGTGAATCATTCAAACAAAATGGATCTTTGAGCATGCTGGGAACACTACAGGTTTGGGCTCAGGATTCCAAAGGCAAACAAAGCCCTTGGACTGTCTAGAAGGCAGGACAATATTCACGTCCTTGACAATGGCTACTATCCACCTAACTGACTTAAGGTCAGAGGGCTGGGATTGTAAAGCCCCCTTTGCCCTCCCCCTTTCTCCTTTCTAGACTAGTTCTGCTCCCTAAATATGGTCTCCCTCTAATGTTTTCAACTCATAGATAGGATTCATGCGAACCTACTGTCTGAAAATATTGCTCAGTAATTCAAATAGTTATTTTCCCCCTCAACTTTTGCTGCTTAAAATTTGCTTTTCATTGATAAACGCCCAGAACATCAAGCAATTAGAGTGCTAAGGGTGAAAAGCAGGGCACTGGATGTATGTGTCCATCTACAAAATTCATGGAACAAAATGTTCATTATTTCCCATGAACTGGGCTCTGTTTTATGAGAGGCACTGGTGGCGATTAGAAGTCTAAAATTACATAGTATTGTTGAGGTCAGTCAGAGCCCATTCCAACCAAAGAGAATATGTGAGCTATGTTTACACATATGTGAAAATGCAAAAGAATTTTTCTTATAAATAGCTCGCAGTGCTTAATCACACATCACATTTCTTAGCAGAGCAAAGGTAATGAGTCTGGAGGCTTTGGGTTTCTTTAGACAACAACAGGACAATGAGAGACTAGGGCCCCCATATTTGACCCGAGGGTTTTCAGGCTGGGGATTGTAAAGAGCTCCCTTTACCAAACAAAGAAGACCACATATTTTATAGCATGGAAGCTGTAGGTCCTACCAAGACAGAAAATCTTAAATACAGTTTATTAGGCTATTAAAAGTTTATAACATCACTTTGCTATTCTCTAGTATTCATCAATAAAGCCCTCATTGATCTCTCCAGGATTCTTAATGTAGCCTCTTGTACAGTAATACCTATGTGCTCAAGCTTCAAAGATCCATTTATTTCACATGTGTAATTTGCCCACTTATTCCTGCTGAGATAATACTCCTGGTTTAATTGCCCATAGAGCAACAGGATGAATCAGCTAGGTTCATTTGTATTAGCTAGCTATGAATATGTGTAAAGCAAAAAACAAAACCATGCAAGGCTGTTCAAATTATAAACTGCAAAAATTAGAGTGGATATTCCCATGAACCACAAATAGACTCAACAAATATTTATATAAGTTTTGCAAAAAAACCCAAAACAAAACACAAAGTACATTGGAGATAACTACTGTTCGTGGTTTGGAGACTGAGGATAAGTAATCTCACTACACTTTTAGACTTATTTACATAGAAAGAGAATGAAGGGATGAATGAAATCTTCAATGTGCAGAATACACAATTCCATAGAGAAAACACAAATATTAAGCCCGGACTCACTTAAGAAACGTCAGACTTGTGAAGCTGGCATTTACTTGTAGAAATTCAAGTCTATTATCCTTAATGATCAGAACTATGAAGAAAGGACACTCTCTTACATAAAACAAATTATTGTCTTTTAAATGTTAAACCTTTAATGAGTGATTTTCTTTTTTCTTTTTGACCTTTTTCTTCTTTTTTTAAAGATCATTTTATTGGAAGCTCTTACAAGTCTTTTTTTTTAAAAAATCATTTTATTAGGGGCTCATACAACTCTTATCACAATCCATACACACATCAATTGTGTAAAGCGCATTTGTACATTCACTGCCCTCTAATTGATCCTCCTTTTTAGTCATCACAGGAATATAAGAGTTACAGGTCTAAGAGGTACAAGGCATATACCTGGGGCAACTCATGGAAACACACACACACATCCTTAACTCGCAAACATAAGCTTAATATCAGAATGTGATACCATAAGCCACCAGTTAAATGAGAGTAAATGCTTCCTGGCATCCAATTTTTACTGTTATCTAATATATAAGAAGCCTTGGGGCTGAAAGCAAGATTGGACACCAGCAGCAGCTCTGCTGGACCCTCCGGAGAAATTCGGCCAGGGTCCCTGCTCTTGCTGCAGGTGCTCAACCCAGCTCGGTTTGATCCAGAAATACAGCCTCAATATGTGCTTCCCATGTTTCCGTTAATTCCCAAAGGATATCACTCCATCAAGATGGATTAAGTGGTCCTTGAATGGATTATCCAAGGCATCTAACTCAACAAAGCAACAATGCCAACTTTTTTGTTCATAAAATAAAAATTATTTTACTTGAAAAATAAGAAATGCACCGTTGCCAGCATGGTCTTAATGCCACTACGATTTAAGCAAAAGTTAACTGTGGTAAGCTTAGTTATTACTTTAGTAAATGAAGGAGCTTCCTCATGCTTATGGAAAAATGGAGTTAAAAGATGCTGGAAATTTTCCTCGAACTTTCTGAAGCTTCTTGGTACATAGGGATGAAGCTCTCTTACATCATACATGCATATGCATTTTACATGGGGATCAAGCTCTAAAAATTGAGTTCCATAAATGCATAAGTACAAAAACAAATAGAGACCTATTTATAGGTAATTGATTTCATGATTTCTGGAGCTATTGCCTCGCTTGATTTTTAAATGGCACTGGCAATGAGGTCTGCCAAGTTTCCTCTTTTGAAAATTTCAATACCTTGTGGTCTCAATTTAAAATAAAGAAAAATGCACAAACTCAAGCAAATTCAGATGAAAGGCAGATGAAATAGCAGCAGGTTGAGCAGAATAGGTATTACTGAAAGACTTGTTGATGGGATTCAAGAGTGCTCAAGGCCATTTGATGCTAAGGGCCACACATGAAATCAGCAGAGGCCTAACCTAGCTAATTGTCTCCCCGATTGTGACAGTTCTGATTAGAAGAATAATCAGCTCTCAGCAGCCTGTAGGCAAAAATGCCAACTGAGGGTGTGTGTGTGTGTGTGTGTGTGTGTGTGTGTGTGTTAATGGATGCACAGCAAATGAATGCCAGATCATCATTATCTCACTCTTCAAACATTAAAGGGGTTCCAATATGAACAAAGCCAATAATTCCCTTCATAATTAGCATGAACATTTTCCTTCTGTCACTTTGCAATGGCTTTTATACAAACTAAAGCAAATGCTTTATGCACTTTCTGAAATTAAAAATGCACTGATATTTTTGTCCCTGAAAACCGAAGTCTTAAAATTCTACAGGCTACTTTTCCAGAGTTGCCTTAAAATATTTTATATTACAAACAATTAGATACTGCTTTAAGAAGAAAATGATTTTCACTTAGTTTCATCTAAAATTAATGAAAATATATTAAACACATAAAATAGCTTTGTTTTTAAAATAAAGATTAAGAATAAATATTTAATCACTCAAAGACATACATTAAAATCTGTGCTATACAACTATGTCATCTAAAGGCCTGCTTTGTGATTGTCTGCTTCCTTAGCTTTTGGGTTAAAGTGGCTTCAGTCACTCCTTCGTTTTGTGCAAGGACAGCTTGTATTTAGACAGAATGGTAATCTACTTCAACGACTACTGCTATGCTAAAAATGTTTAACCCTCTAGATCTCAAAATCTAAAACTATGAAGAGGTTATTGAGCTCTTAAAGAGGAGGCCTGGTGTAGTCGTGGCTACACATTGGGCTGCAATCGGCAAGGTCAGAAGTTTGAAGCCACCAGTTAGTTGCTGCAAGGGAGAAAGACGGGTTTTCTACTCCTGTAAAGGGTCTTAGAAACCCACAGGGCTGCCCTCCTCTATCCTACAGGGACCCCATGAGTGGGCATTAACTCGATGACACTGAACATGACTTTCCCTTTAAAGCTCTTGAAAATTAGAAATTTGAGGGAATTTTACACATATGCACAGAATAACATTTTAATACCCCTTAGGGCAGGGGTCCTCAAACTAGGGCCCGCGGGCCACATGCGGCCCGCCAAGGACATTTATCCAGCCCGCCAGGTGTTTTTGCCAATTTTGTTTTTTTTACTTTAAAATAAGATATGTGCGGTGCACTCGGAGCTGTGGGAGTGTGAGAGCGAGACGGGAACCTGGTGGCACTCTTGTCTTTCTGCAGCTTCTCCGGGAGAGGTTTCCCAGAATCACTTTGAACCCGCTGTCTGCGTGTGTGCCAAGTGCGGCTACCAGCTGTGGCCAGCCTTCACCGAGACCATCCACGATGACAGCGTGGCCAAGCGGCCCGAGCGCAATCAGCCTGATGCCTTTAAGGTGTCTTGCGGTAAATGAGGAGGCCACGTGCTTGGCCGTGAGTTCCTCAATGATGGCCCCAAGCAGGGGGCAGTCCAGCTTCTGAATATTCAGCAGCTCCCTGAAGTACATCCCTAAAGGCAACAACTCTGCTTCCCAGGGGAAGTAAGCGGGCAGCCCAACCCCAAGCAGCCACAGGCATTGGTCACCCCCCTTTAGAACTACAACCTACTGACCTTCAGGCAGGGAGGGCTGGATGATGGCGGGGGTGGGGGCGTTTCCTGACGACTACCCCCTGTGCCAGGATGGGGCCGAGGGCTGGTTCATCTTGGCCGCCGAGGCTCGAGGCTGGGACTCTGGCCTTAGGGTGTCTGTGTCTTGAAGGACATAACACCCTTGGCTTCTCTCCTCAGCCTGACGGCCCCTCCCTGCCTGCCTGGTCTCACCCCTATGAGCCCCAATTCCCAAAGGGGCTCCAGCCCTCACCAGGCAGGGCCCGTGCTGACCCCCTAAGTTGTGTGAGCAGATGCAACCACTACAAGGCCATGTCCCAGTGGGGGGCTCCAGCCCTGTCACTGCATGAGTCGCTCTGGTCAGATCCTCCCAGGCTCACCAGGGCACTGATGGGCTGTGACCTGCTGGGGCATGCAGGTCCATGGCACAACCCCTGAGTCCCTGGTCTCCATCTGTGTGGGAGAGCAGCCACTGATCCATGGTCTTCCTACCAGTCCCCGGTGGGGCCTGGGAGGTCTCTTCCCACAGTCTGTACCTACCAAGCCTGACCCAGGAGGGTATGTCCAGAGCTCCTGGTTGCGGCCTCACCCTCTCCAACTTTCTGAACCGATCGGCTGGAAACTAATAAAGCAAGGAGACCCAGCACGACTGTCACTACCCTTAAAAAAAAGTGCGGTGTGCATAGGAAGTTGTCCATAGTTGGTTTTTTTTGAACTATAGTCTGGGCCTCCAATGGTCTGAGGGACAGTGAACTGGCCCCGTTTAAAAAGTTTGAGGACCCCTGCCTTAGGAAGTTAGCCATTTTGTTACTTTGAGAATCTAAAATGAATTCTATATGTTGTTCTTTGCTCAAAAATGTATCATGCTTAGTATAGTTAGAAATGGGTAGTGATGGAATAAGGGAGAAAAGATTCTGGGACAATGAAAATTTAATCTACGTTCTATAAATCTTTTTACTTCTCAAAACTCTTTCCACTGTGTCTGCAAAGATGAGAGCGTGAGTGGGGCCAAGCAAACGGTGAGAGAGCTAGTACAGTCTTTGGGACAATAATAAAGCTGGATCATTTTCAGCTCGGTCCCATGAACAGAGCTGATTTTAGAGGCATGTGTTACCATTAAATGTGGATTTCTAACCCTGGCTGGATTCTGCCCAAATTGCAAACCCGCAACGGGTGCCACCAAATGAACTGTCAGTCAGCTGATGGGGGGCCTTATCCATGACTTCGGGTCTTAAGTACGCTAGATTCGATGTTAGGGCGGTAAGCTGATAGTCTGTCCGCCACAGGGCCCAAGATTGTAGGGCTCACTTGCAGGATGCATTTCATCTCATGCAGTTGTCATCAACAAAGGATTAACTGAAATTAAACAAAAGTTTATATCCTGAAATTTGATCATTCTCTGTCTCTCTCCTTACTCAGATCATGAGCATATCTGGTTAGCTGAGGAGTTCACAAAAGACTCATGTCAACAGTCTATTAGTGAGATAGCAAAAAAAAATATGCTTTAAACACCTCCCTGCTCTGGCCTCTGACCTCCTTAAGCAGACACATTTTTAAAATTCTTTGTGGGATAAGGAATCACTAAGCAGCCACACTGGGAACTCACGAATACCTGAATTCAAATCTGCCAAGTCTCTTCCTTGCACATCTTTCACTGAGAAAGGGCACTGCGCACCTGATGAGCCAGGGAGCGGACACTGCCTTTATAAATTACTGAAAATAGTCTATCAGATTAGAATGGGACATTCCTCACCCTGTCATTAACCTCTCTCTATCCCATCTCCAAGAAAAACAGAGAGAAGTCTAAGGAAGCCTGCAGGTCTGTTTCTTTGCTCTAACAACTCATTGTTACAATCTGGTAAGAGATCATTCTCTCCTCTTTGCTCAGTGTGAATTGGTTTTTTTTTCCCGTCCCAGAAGCCCTGTAATGATCTGTAAAACTAACACTTTGGTCCAGTTAGCATTAGCATATGCTCAGAACAACTTTGATGTGCAGCTGCCCTGATTGGATGCAGATAAACTTCTAATTTTGAGTCCTTCCTGCAGCGAAATGCCACCCACTTAGTGGAAATGCTTAGTGCTCTGCAATTGTTTGATTAGCAGAGCTTCAGCTCTGCAGACATCACACAGTGTTAGTGATCCTAACTGACCCTACGGTGTAGACAGAACCTTGAACAGAAAAGAATTAGGGAACCCAGCGAAGGGCCAAGCGACCACATGGAGAGGGCTCTTGAAGAGTTCTCAGCTGCTGGTGTCCAGCAACTCTAAGTAGTTGTCCGTATATTCCAATCAGAAGTTAATTTAGACTAAGCCAACGGGATGTGACATATATTTTTATCCCAGCGCTCGAGGCCATTCCCACATCTCTCTCTTCTGACATGCTGAAACTTGCTTACGCACTGAAGGAAGACAACGAGTAAGTAATGATTGTTTAGGTAATGGCAGGGCTGTGCAAATCAGCTCTTGAAGCAGCCAGCTGTTCGTGCACTGTCATCTATCCAAGCAGTCTTGTTCAAACAGGCAAAGCAGTGGGTTACAGTGCTTTCCATCTAGGTAAAGGTGTAAAACGTGGCATGTGTTGCAGCCAGCAAACGGGAGCAAAATCTTTTCAGATCTTGCTAAGCCTCCAGAGAGCTGAAAAACATTCCATTTTAAGAAGAGATGTTTTCAAACCAAGTACTGTTGCAGTCGTGCCAGTGGTTGGGGTGTTTTTCTATGTTAGTTTAGCAAACCACACTTGTCCCGGCAAATCAATCTGGCTTTGCTCCTGCTTCTGACAGAGGCTGATTCATCACCTCTCCTGCTTCCTTCATTGCCCACCTCTCATCCAAATTAGCACCCTGGCTGGCAGGTCTAGCTTTCCTCGTCTTCTGAAGGCCCTGCAAAGATTCTAAAGGAAGAAATCTACTGGTGGGAGTGTTAAGATCTATTTCTTATAGGGATAAATGCTCCTTTATGTGCTGGGAGTTCCCAAAGAAGATGCATGCACCAGACCAGGCGCTCACTGCGGACGTTTTTGGTTGGAGTCCTCTTGGGTCAGGTCAAAGTCTGTGGGTCTTTTTCCTCTTTGCTCGGGGACCCCTGAAACCATGAAGTCACATGGGCCCTCCATCAGCCCACCAGTGAACGGCCCCGGAGACCCACTCAGCTCCACTTGGAAACAAACCTTGCTCAAGCTCTTTAAAAACAAACGTGAAGTGTAAGAATTCCAAATTCCCAATACTGTGGAAAGAAACACAACTGCTTCAAGTTTCCTTGCTGCCGGTTGGGGTCTAAAGTTATCTTCTCCAGAGGAAAGTTCATTGGTCACTTAATACTGGGCCCCTTGAGGGTAATAAGAAATGTTGCAGTAGTCTTTGAAGATAAGATAATGTCTGTAGCTGCCTTTACTTGGCCTTTGACTATATTAATTACAAAGTTCATATATTATTTAATATATTACCACTCAATGTAAACAAATTACTTGGTTAACCTTAAAAAAATTTAATGATAAAAGGGAAAATTGAATTGGAGAGGATGTATGGCAACTCTACACTGACTGCTCCACTTCTGAAAACTTAAAACCTCTACAAAAACAAATTTCTACTAATTTAAAAACAAAACCAAAGTGACTCTGATGTATGGGTTGTAACAAGAGTTGTAAGAGCCCCCAATAAAATGATCTAAACCCCCCAAAAAAACCATAGTGACTCTTTGAATTACTTTATTGGTGAGAAACAACTATAATCATCCGATTAATTCATGTGTGACTGAGACCTCTGTGAAGGAGTGTTATCGCTCCACTTTGCGGAGGCAGTAAGTGAGGGAAGACAGAGTCTGAATCCTGCTTGATGTCAGTAGTAAGGAGGGGAGCTAGAATCCCAAACCTGAGCTGCTCCCCCTCAAACAGCTGAATTTAATACTGATTGTGAGAAATGAGTCCCCTTGTCTATAGATGGGCTTTGGGTCTCTGCTCGGAGCCCCCTCTCATCCTCAGCAATATGGTTTTGTTTGTTGGTTTGTTATGGTTCTTCTGATGCCTGTTACCTGTCCCAATGACACCTCATGATCGCACTGGCTTTCTCCCATGGAGTGATGGTGGGTGTGACCGACTGCCCTGTGGTTAGCAGCCCAATGACACAAGGACCTCAAATATCTGTGAGGCGTATTTTGTTGTTGTTGTCTTTAAATGTTGTGGGCCCAGAAACATAAAATGCCCCAGAGAAAAAGAAAAATCTGGACCCACAGAGGAAAAAAGAAAAAGAGACAACTCTGAGGATCATCTATTCTCTACTCATATTTTGCAGGTGAGTAACTGATGGTGTTGTGAGGTAACCGCAAGGTCAGTGGTTCAAACTCACTAGCTCCTCCACCAGAGCAAGTTGAGGCTGTTACCATAAACATTTACAGCTTCAGAAACATATAAAGGTCGGTATGAGAATTGACTCACTGTCACAGGATTAATGACACACAGAGAAGAAGTCATGTGATCAAGGCTACCACGTTTGTTTGTTAACAACAGAACTCAGAATAGAACGAGTTCCCAAATTCCGGGCAATGTTGCAAAAATCATCACTTGGAGTTCTGCGTGAGTACCAAAGGAAGTTGATATTTTCCAATCAACTTCCAATGCACGAGAGAAGGAGGAAAGTGGTCAGAAGTGGGCCGTCCTGTCCAGCAGCGGCACAGGCAGGAGGAAGTGTCAAGTGTGATGGGTGACATTCACCACCCCCTTAGAGAATCTCACAGGAGAGACTTGTAAGGAGGCATCTGCTAACAAGAAGCCTTGCGAATGCTGCACTGGAGTCTGCTCGCACGACCATAACTCTGTCTCCACTGGCCAATAGATAGACTTGTCCCTTTTTGACACTGGTGGCCACAGGAGCGTCCAAGGCCATTTTATATTCTTTCTTCCAGTCT